AAGGGAATTGATAGTGTTGATGCATCATCTTTTTTCATATTTAACAGTGAGAATAGTAGGACTAGGGGACACAACTATAAATGTTGGAAAGGTAGGAGTCATCTTCAGTTAAGACAGTTTTATTTTTCTAATGGGGTGGTTGGCTTTTGGAATTGGTTGCCTTCGGATGTTGTAGAGGCAGTAAATTTAAGAAAAAACTTGATAAGTATATTAATGATAAGGGTTTGTTTAAGATTATATTAATGTAGTTTAGAGGATGGAACAGCTGAGATGGATCAGTAGGTCCCATGTTGTCCCAAAACATTATGTTTGATTCCCTATGTTGGTTACCTGACTTGGGGAGTTTCTTGAACATTTAAAAGAAGAGCTTCACACTTTGGAGCTGTGAGTTTGTATTAAATAGTGGTAAAACCCATTATTCATTCAGAGAACAGTTGCCCAAAAGTTAATGATGGTTACTTTTGACTAGCTACTTTCCCTTTAGTTTGTCAGGAAAAAATTATTGATTACTACAGTATGCAGCTCTTGGGTATATTTGCACAAAAGTTTTAAACAGCAGATGTATAAATTTAATTCCTGATTTGGCAGCATTACAATCAGATCTTGAAACTGAAAGAGTAATAAAACAATTTTTCTTGTTTTTGTTTTTTTCTGTTGTTACCAGGGCCTAATAAAGGAATTTAATGTATGGGGGTCACTAAACCTTAAAATAAACAATTGTACAAGAGTTATGGGATATGAGAGTGTTTGGGATACAGCACCTCCAAAAACACAAGCGTATTAACCCTATTGCCACAGGTATTCTTTTATGTGCATGACACAAGATTTCAGTGTCTTACATGAAAAATGTTATTAAAGTACTTTTTGTTTATGTTATACCAATTAGTATAGCATGAAATATTAGCTAATAATCCATATTTTAATAGTATACAAGTTTTAAGTTCTTAATTCTACAAGGCAATATTTAAGAAAATCCTGGATTTCCCCCAGTGTGACACACGCATTCTTTAGGTATCTTCTCTGTTTTATCCACCTCCCCTACAATAACTACAAAATTAAATGTAAATTACTCAGTACAAAATTGTTTTTGCTCAGACAAACCATAATTTGTATTGCCTTCAATTTTGTCTGGTTACAGAGCTATCAAATAGAAAATCAGACCCCTACTGCCATATCCTTTCTTTCACGTTTTGTTAATAGTTCTCTCTTACGTTTTATTATATATTACCTATAACAAATATATAGTGAAGGTTTTCATCTATCAAATGATGTATAACATTGTGTTCTGAACAGATAAGCATCAATTTCACTTATATGGTTCATTCCTGTGGAAAACTTGACAAATAGCTTGAATGACTTTGTAATGGCTGTTGTCGCATAGCTAGAAAGCCAGAAAATTTTTAGAGTTAGGGGAAATTATCTACTTTTTTGCTTGTTATTAGTCTATGTTATTAGGTGCATTATTTAATTGAATAAAAATGTAGTGCATTACTACCATTATTATAGAAAAAAAAAGTAGGGTTAACTTCATCAACAATTGACAGCAAGAAAAAAGATCAGGTAAGTACTTTATTTCTTATTTTTCATGTTTATTCTTTATTTATTGTTATAAAAATAACTAAAATGTAAAAATAGCGATCTTTTTAGGTTTGTAAAGATTAGATTAGGTAAAATAAATAGTAATATAATAAAAATGTTTCATGAGGCACACATGCCAGCAGCTCGCTGGTGAGTAATGTAATTTGATAGTGTAACATGAGCTGCACATTTCATGAGTGATTTACAACTTATAATGCCATGGATAGCAGTTACACAGTTCAAAGGGCAATATAACAATAAAATTTAACTATAAGTATATGTATACTGTTAAGAGCTTAAAGCCACTTAGAGTAAACGAATGTAGTTTCACGCTACATTTGAAGTCATTCTAGTAAGAAAAAGAGGGTAATTTAAATTTATTTTGATTTTTTAAGGGGGAGGGGGGTCACAAGATCATTCAAATTGACCAGCCTTATATAGAGTTAGGGTAGAGAAATAACAGATAAAATATAAAGTTTCCCTGAAAACTAACATTTGAAATGTATTTAGGAAGTTTTAGAAATTACACAAATGAAATTTGAGATTATTGAGATGAAGAAAAGTATTTTTGATCTTGAGACAATCACTTTGCACACAGACTATTCAAAAGAAATACTCAGTATATTTATGGACAAATCTTTATTTTAATTTATTAAAAATACTTCACTAGAAAATATGATTTGTATGTGAAAGACTTGTAATGTTAACTGAAAGACTGCCAAATTTTGTGAAGATATACACACTATATTGAAAATTAGAAGTTTTAAATCTATACAGATTTTAAACGAGTACAAAGAGGTCATGTGGTCAGTCAAATTGACTTTGCCTGTGTCGAGAGTTAATGAAAGTGATATATTTTTCTCACCTGAAGTATACTTTCTCATTATGTAGGATTTTAACCAATAGAGGTGAATGGCTGAGAAGAAATCTATTGTTTGCCAGAAAATAGTTGACACAGATTTTAAATTTTACATAAAGATCAGTGATGCTGATGTACACAAAACAGCTTTTCATGTATGTTTGTTACTTTATCATCCCTACATTTAGATATAAAGATATAACAGAAGCAGTACAGCACTGCTGAAATATCCATAGTTTGTCTAGTTCTAAAATATGTAAATTTAAAAAATTATTGCTGTAATATCATAAAAGTAGAAGCTGAAGGGTAATGCATAAACATTAGTTTATGGATTGTCTCATGAAAACATTAACTTTAATTATTATTATTAATTATTAAATGAAATGTAAGCTAGATATAGAGAGAGAGACTTTGAAAATTGATTAGGTATAATTTGTTGTAGTTTTTATTATTTGGTTCGTGTATTTTTCATAGTCATCAACTATACTGGGTTGGTTCTGAAAATCTGGCCAAGTTTAGTATTTTGGTATGGGAATTATTAAACATGGGAACTGTCGAATAGAAACTAAAATAAACTTAATCAGTTTTGTCATTATTGGATTGTTGTGATGGATTACTTGGAAAATACTTGATAAATACATTGTATCTTCATCTTTTTTGTGAGTTAGAGTACTTCTTCCTGTTACATGTACACAAAATACTTTTTCTTTTTTTGTTATGATGCCCTCATCATGAACTAAACTGTTGGCCTTAAATATGGTTTGGATTAGCCCTTGGATACTATTTGGAAATTATACTGGGGAGGGGATGTTTGTTTTAGTGTTAATGAGTATATTACACGAACTTCATGTGTTTATTCTAAAACATGTTCTGGTACTTTCTAGGTTTTTGTTTATTTTCAGAACTTAAATTCAGGTATCTGTTAATTTTTTTTTTTTCTAAAGTACTGTTTAATTTTCCGAAATGAATTATTACTGTTATAATGAACTTCTGAGCAAGAGAAAGCTAACAATGTGAGTTAAAATAATTATTCAGTTAAAGTAAGTCGTAAAATAAGCTTACTAAAAATACTTATTCATAAATCAGTAAACCATAAAATTATAATGTGTAGTAACTAAAATACATTGAATCATCAGTTTGGTACCATTTCTATTAAGAGTATTATTGATTGAATCCTAATGATATTTTGAGGAACTTGCCTACTTGGTGGTTAGCTTTAAACCATATGCTGAGCCAACAATGAAAGATAACCTTCATAAACAAAATATAATTGGAAGAAAATGTGTTCGATTTATTTTTAGTGAAACAAGACAATTTAATTTGCCATCAATCAGTAGAGTGGAAAAAAAAAGAGATTTTAAGAGTGGTGTATAGGTAAATTTGAACTATATGACAGCAAACTGTGGTGTATAAATGTTTGCAAGAACTTGATAAAAAAACAAAACAAAAACTATCATTAACATTCAGTGGGTTGTGTGAATACATTAAACAATTGGCATATCCAGTACACTAATGCATTGCAAAGTTAAATTGTTTTTATAGAAAAATTGATAGGTAATTAGTCAACATTTCAGCTTTTTTTAATGAAAAACATTATAAAGATAAGATTATTTGAAGCTAGAACAGCAGTGTTATACATCACTAATAGGTATTATGAATACAACTATATTTAACTTGTTTCTTGCCTTATATTTTCTTAATGTTGCCTTATTATCTTACTTAAAGGTTAAAAATTAGCTGGTGCAACTGTGTGGTTTCTGTGGATTGCTGGAAGATATCAGTTTTGAGGCTTTAAGAATTCATTGTGAAGCATTTCGGGTTCATGAAAAGAAAAATCATATTCTGAAAGTAGAAGACAGTTGTGTAACGAATATGACAGATGGATTTTTTGGAATTGATCCCACACGACTACCTGTAAGTATTATTTTAAAGTTTTTATAGTCATGTTTATTATCGTATCACATTTGGCATATTTTTTCCAACAGATTGTTCAGATTGGTCTGTATCCAAATTTTGTACAGTTCCACACTTTTTTATGAATTAATTTTCATATTACAGTTGCCTCTAGAACTTTGAGCATGTTTCACACCTTAGTTTTTGAGGAATACTTTAGAATTGGACTACTGTCATTTCTACTTTGATGTTATCAAGGTTGACAGCTAGGTTTGAAGAGAACCCATTTGGTTCTTGTGAATTAACCATTTCCATATGACCTGGATGAAGTGCTCACAACATTTCAGTGTTACATTGAAATTTTATCATCAACATATTTCAGTAAATCAAGTACAAAAAATTTATTTCATGATTCAAATTTTTTATATTATCTAAGTTTTAACTTCTTTATTTCATAAAGAAATATTTAAAAGAATTTCCACCTCCATTTTTACTTGTCACTGAAATATCTGAGCTCCAGTTAACAATATGGGGTGTATCATGCATGCTGGGTCTTCTGCATCCTTGCTCAGTTTGAAATCAAACAAGAGGAAGACAAATTCTATCAACTGTTCCTTCCTCCTGGTATTTGATTTTGATATTACCCTACTGGTTTAGGAGAGTCCGTAACTTTGTACTATGTTTCAGAACTTGATTTCACAAGTATTTTCCATTCTTTCACTTTCACTTGTATATTATGATCCTTTGTGTTCTTTACTCCAACCCTAATTAGTCTTTTTTCCTTCAATTGACATTCATGTTCATGCTTACTCCTTCCTGGAACAAAATTGTATCCATGACCATATGCTTCTTCCTCCCTGCCTATCTGATTCTCATGTCTTAGCTTACAGCCATTCTACTTTTCCCTTTCTTGATTCTCAGTGTTTATAACCTCTTTCACTTGCTGAGGGAGCAGACTATTTCTCTTCTGTTTCATTCCTAAATGCTCAATTTTAACATCATTTTTTTTTTCTTACCACCCTTCTTTGTTACCTCTTTTCCCCTGCACCTTATGTCTGAGGCACTTCATCGTGCTCCTAAAGAGTTTTCAGGGGAGGTTTATTTCCATTCTGTTTACTAGTATGGCCTTTACTGCATCTTTTGCCTTATCCCTACTAACTTGGTTCTTTTGCTGATGGGAGTTGTTAGATAGAAATACATTCCTTGCTAACATATGTTTGCCTACCTTCCTATTTGCATGATCTTCATCATGCTCCTTATTGTGCTAAGATATTGCTGGCAGTGTTTCTGATTCACTTGAGTCCTGAGCTGAAACAGCCCAACACCATTCCTCTTTATTTTTCCTGGTTTCTTGCATATCACAACTTTGCCCTTCAAGTCCCGTTCCTCATCCGTATCACTTTTCCTCTCACTTTTTTGTCCTATTCTCCTCGTCTACCCATTCCCCCACTTCCCTCTATCAGGTCTATTGCATCAGTGACTATCCTGTTGGTTTGGGACCTGTTGGTGCCTGTCTGGTGTGGTTTGCTAACTTCTGGTCACAATATTCTATCAAAAGATGGATTCTTTGAATTTTACCCATATTCTGTTTCTCCACTTCACTACCCCTCCCTCTCCTCCTCCTGTTTTATTTTTTCCTCCCTCTGATCCTTTCTTTAACATCTCAAAGAGGTTGTATATGACTTTTTGGATAAGCAGGCCATTGTGAGGGAATATGACCCTTGTATGGGTTTTTACTCTCGTCTCTTGCAATTGATTTCTGGTTGTTCTCATTTTTGGATGGCAAATTTCTTTTCTCTCCAATGGTCCTTTTCACACAGGCTATAGATGACATTTCGATTTCCCTGTCCTCCAGACAGTTTCTGCCTTTTGACCATTGGAATCACTTCTTCCAGTTCTGTACTCTTCCATTTAGCATTGCATCAGCCTCTTATGTGTTCAGTTGTGTCATGAGGACTTTCAATCACCATGGACTGGGTCTCTGATTCCACGTTTATATGGATGATTGACTTCTGTTAGGCCATTCCCAGGAGGTATCCTCCCTTCACACTTGTCTTCATGAGGCTTGTAAAGGTAGCCCATTATCTAGTACATCTTAGCATTTTCTTCAACTCTTATCTCAACTGAGCTCAGCCTTTTCTTTGCTTGCAAGCTAAAGAGTGTCGAGTCACCAAGATTTGAGCTTCTCATCCTGCATAAGTTCTTTTTTTTATTTTGGGGACTCTAGCTTCCATGTAGCCCATCATTATTTCAGGGCACACAGATTTGCACAGTGCAGTGAGAAGTGGTGACACTGTCGGTGTAGTTCTGGTCACCCCTCAAAAATATGAACGTGCTCTCCTCCTGTAGCCAGAGTCTGTTCAATTGAGATGAGCACACAAGGTATGGTCTGACCAAGTTCAAACCACATTACTCATATTGGCTCATCAGCTGCTTGTGCCAAGTGCTTGGAGAGTTATTTTTACATACCACTTGTCCCTGCAATACATGGTGCTTGCCTCTTGCAACTTTACATTCCGGAGTAAAAGTATACTCTGGTTGAGATGACCTCACACAGGCACTTTCTGAAGGGGGGGGGGGGTCATCTAGATTTTTGCACCAGTCCCTCCACCAATTCAACATGGTATTCTAGCTGTTCTGTGTATTTGACAGATACTTGCCTCTTCACACATATTCCCACCTTTCCTCCCCACTTCTGGTGTACTTTTTTTTTGTCTCGCTTTGACAAAGAATTAAGTTATCATGAGTTCAAATGCATAGGAGTAGTAACTGCGCATGGAGGTTGTGTTGGCCTTCCATTGGTGAAGGACTTTTGTTGTATGATTACATCATCATGCACATTAAAACGTATGAATTTAGGTGGGAATTACCTCAAAGTTAGTGGCAGGCAAATCTCGTAGAATGATAGCTATTCTGTGTAAGAAGATGAGTATCTATGGGAAATACATCTTAGGATTAGAAAAATGTTAATTTTTGGGGTATTCTGTTTTACTGATTGAATTATCGTTTATATTTTAAAATCCATATTTGAAAGCTACAATAATTATTTTTGGCCAACTTATTGAGAACAAGAAGGAATCCTCAATAGCCATGGCACTTAATCCTATCGTGACTGGTCATGTGTCAAAGGCCATGTCATCACATTTGTTGACTTGCATTCAAAATTTTATTGAACTGGTATTTGCCCACCTCTTCCCATTTTTAGAAACGCTCCCTTATATACACTTCTATATATGACATGAATCATTAATTGAATCGAAAGCTCAGAATGTCCCCCTAGTAGTTTTCTCAGCCACTTTGATGTGTTATTGTGTTAATCTCATTCTTTTCACAAAAGATTTCAAATGATAAGGTAAATCTTTAGTGAACTTGAAATTTCATATTTTGTTAGACTTAAATGCAGCTTAGTTACTACGCCTTATAAATTAGTGAATTCTGTAGTATCAATATAGTAATTTGATATTTTTTTCATTATTTAAAATGTATTTATAAAACCTAAAAAATGTTCTTTTCATATCTACCACGTGGGAAATTTCTTAAGGCTTAGCAACCTACAACAAGCAGCAAATGAGTACAAAGGTTGAAACTAGAAGAGATAATTGTTTGCTTTACTGTTCTTTTAAGAAAAATAAGTTTAAGAACTTATTTGTAAACAGAATTAATGTATATGCGTATATAATGTATAATAATTGAAATGTGACTATTTTACAAAATACTAGTTCACTAAAATA